ATGGTTCCCCCCACCCAACCCCACTATACAGGCTAGGTATGAGTGGACCTACTCTGTGGCACACCCCCACCACTACATCTGCAGAAGAGACTCTGGGTAGGCCAAACAGTTAACACATTTGGCTGCTAACCAAAAGGTTGGCAGTTCCAGTCTACTGACTGGTTGGAAGACCAGCTTGGCGATCTATTTCCCAAAATGGCAGCCACTGAAAACCTTAAGGATCACAGTTTTAGTCATATGAAGTCACTGTGAGTCGGATTTGACTTCACAGCAATGATTTTTACTGGGTGCAGTTGAGTGAATGCTGACCCATAGTAAGCTGTGGGACAGAGTAGAATTGCCCCATAGGGCATTTGCAGCTGTATCTTCCTAAGGAGTCCTGATGTAGCACTGTGGGATAAGGACTGGATTGCTCACCACAAGGCAGGCGGTTCAAACCCACCAGGTGCTTCTTGGAAACCCTATGCAGGGTTACTATGAGTCGGAACAACAAGAAGAGAAGTAAAGGGCACAGGAGACCCTTTAAAGAATGGGCAAGTTTCCCCCTGTACTGCCTCCTGTGTAGAGGAGTGAGAGATGTGAAAAGGATTTACATCCAAGGGAGCAATCAAGCGTTTTCACATTTCTTTACGTTGTTCTCAGGCGAGGAAGTTTCAGTCCTATTGTCTGCGGGCTTGGAAAATAATCTGGATAAACACTTAGTTCAACAAGTAGCAAGTGTGCTTTGTGCCATGGTCCCCTCCAGCAAGTGAGGAGCAACACTGGCCAGGGCTCAGCTTCCTGGAGCTTTCACTTGGTGAAGAAATCAGGGAGTTATGACTACAGAGAAGATACCACAGGATGAAGGAATAAAAGCAACGTGGGGCCTGCATTAGACTTTGGTGGTCAAGGGTTCTTGTTGAATTATATAACGTCAAGTTGGTTCTGACTCATAGTGACCCTATGGGTTTAGGGTTTCCGAGGAGCGGGTGGTAGGTTTGAACCACCAACCTTGTGGTCCTGTGTTTATCCTACAGTGCCACACCAGGAGTCTACCTTCTCTCAGCATCTATAAAATGGGGATAAAAACCATCCAGCACACGGAGATAGTGTGAAGATTTCATCAGATTATGTTGAGCATATTTGCTCAGTAGATGTGCTATGTTTTCTTTCTATACATTTTCTGCTGAACTGGAAATCTAGATTTTGTTCTCCAGATTCCTTTATTTCCCAATTAGAAGAAATATAAAACCAGTTCACTCAAATCTTCAGTTTCATTTACCTTTTTGGTTCAGATTTTTTTCTGTCTCCACTGAACAACATGTGAAATGGAAGGTCAAGTCAGGTGAAAAATGCAAAGATGTGGGTAACATGCCTGTTTCTTGTATCATGGTTATGCTAAGGGTCAAATCTTGAACAAGCCCTAGACTAAGATTCCAAACCATTAAACACAACAACAACAACAACAACAACAACAAAACACCACTGTCAGAATATGTTCTTTGATTTAAGGTCTCTTTTTCCTATCTTGTCAGAAATGAAAGGCAGTCTCAGTCAGGGATCATGGAAACACTTCAGACCAATGAAAACTCAGAACCGAAAAGCAGAAAGCTAGAACTTAAACACTTGCAGATTGCTACTTCTCCACTGAAAGCTGGAGTCCTGGTGTGGCGCTGTGGGTTAATGCGCTGGACTGCAAGGTCAGTTTGAACCACAAGATCAGCGGTTCAAACCCACCAGCCGCTCCTCAGAAATTCTATATGGGGCTGGTGTGGGTCTGAAGGCACTTAACAACAACAACAACAAATGAGAGCTGGGAAGGCAAACAAGGGTGGCCAAAACTAGAACAGACATTCCAGTGGGAAAAACAGAGCTGTTAATGGCCTGCTAATGTGTGGCCCTGTAGGATCTGCACTAGACTGCTAACTACAAGGTCAGCTGTTCAGATCCATCAGCTGCTCCTCAGAAATCCTACAGGATGGCACTTAACAACAACAAAAATAATGACCGAAGATGCAAACAACATGTCCAAAAGATGTTGCAAAATTAGAGGAACAAATGGCTGAATCACTAAAGGAAACTTGCTTTGGCTGGTGGTAAAGTTCAGAAAGAAACTTAGTATTGGAATAATGTGATTGTTTATTGATTTGTTTGAATTAATAGTAACTCAGATTTGGGTGAGTGGAGGTAAGTTTAAAGACAGATGCAATTCTCAAACTGAAACCAAGGCCCCAACAGTTGTAATTATTTCAGGTTATATCGCTGCTCAGGAGAAAAGCAAGGACAATGGGAGCTTCTGACTCTGAATCCAGTGCACATGTACTATACAAGGTGTTTCACTGGAGATACTCCAAACCCTATTGTTTTGTATTCCTATGATTCAGGTTGTGAATGACCAACACAGCAAAGGTTTATGCTAAATGTCCTTTATTTCACCTTTAGAAATAATTAACATTACTGGAGTTCCAGGAGTCCTGTTGTTGTGCTGTGGGTTAATGCGTCAGACTGCAAAGTCATTTGAACTGCAAGGTCAGCGGTTCAAGCTCACCAGCTGCTCCTTGGAAACCCTATACAGGGTCAATATGGGTCGGAACCAACTTGACAGCACTTGACAACAACAACAATAACAACTGGAATCCTGGTGTGGCTCTGTAGAATAAGCACTGGACCACAAGGTTGGTTTGAACTGCAAGGTTGGCAGTTCAAACTCACTAGTCGCTCCTCAGAAACCCTATACAGGGTTGCTATGAGTTGGAACCGATCCAATGGAACTTGACAACAACAACAACGCTAGAGTGGAAGGACTCCTGGTGTGGTGCTGTACAATCAGCACTGGACTGTGAATCACAAGGTTGGCAGTTCAAACCCACCAGATGCTCCTCATAAACTCTATACAGGGTCACTATGAGTCAGAGCTGACACAAGGTCTCATAACAACAATAACGTGGCGTGCAAAGGAAGTCCCAGTCTCCCGTACTCTTGATTCAACTCCTTGATGGTGTTTGCCTCCATTTATCAATGTAGTGAGTTACATTTTAAAATTTAATATAGCTGATATCTCTTTTAAGTACTTCAACTAACACCAAACTTCAAGTTCTTAAGGTGTTATTAAGTCTAATAAATGAAACGTGTAAGTATGAGGAATCATAAGGTATTCTTAAATGGTGAAATAATTTATATATCGATAAAATTTCAATTTAAATCACAAGTCCAAATAATGAGTCAATTGCTCATTTTAAATCAGATTCCTAAGGTTAATATCCACTTACTCTAACAAGATCAAAAGTTCTTTAAGCAGAATAAACAGTATACCAATTCGGCTCAGATCATTTAACACAATATTATTAGTATGGGTTTGATTCTCTGAATACAGCTGCACTTCATTCTAAACCTCTGTAGGGCTAAAGGATGCTTACCTACTAAAGATACTGTTTTGAGGATACTATTCCAAGTACTTTGAGGGTTGACCATTGGCTGTATTATGTTTCTTAAGTGAGAGGCAACTAGCCTGGTTCCCTGGAATTTTGCCTGTCCCCCTCTGAGTCTGATTTTATGAGCACTCAGTTAATGCCCAGGAAATGGAAGACCCCAAAGCCCACATGCTTTTGAGTGACCAGTTTGCTAAACTTTTCAGTTGGACTGAAGTGATCTATTTCCAGCTTCATTCTATTCTGCCTTCTGGGCAGGTTCACAACTCTTAAAGATATTCCAGTGGGGATCCTCTTTGGCTTCGTGTAACTCCCTGGTAAATGGGCCAGATAGAGTAAGTCCAAAATGGGCAGGTTGTTATTGTTCATTTAGATGAGTTGTTTCCAACTCATGGCAACCCCATGTGTGCAGGGTAGAACTGCTCCAAAGGGTTTTAAGAAGCAGACCACCAAGATGCCTGTCTTCTAAGGCACCTCTGGGTGGGTTCAGACTGTTAAGCTTTCAGTTAGTAGTTAAGCATTATGTTAGAAATGTCAGAGAACTGCTTCTGTAAGGATGGTTTATTTTTACATGCTGTCTCCTCTGCCCAGCTTCTGACACATACATAGGCAGGCACAACGATTACTTGCAGAAACAGTGGAATGAGTACAAACCCAGTAAGTAGAAGGGAAGAAAAGAAAACTTATAGCTGGTGGGAAGCTGGAAGCTGGAGAGGGAGAGGGTGTTACAAGGAATGCACAACATTTACTTCCCACAATGATTCAGTTCCATCATCTCCCTCTCTCCCTCTCTCTCACACACACACTGCCTAAAGTCTCAGCGCCTCACAATGATCACACCTGTGGTTTCTTAAAGCGTTCTTAAAAACGTCTCTGTAATTCCAGGGACTGAACTGTGTATCTAGAACAAAGTCAGTGCAAACAGTGGGTCAAGGTGATTTTCACAGCAAGGCGAAAAGCTAGTCCTGGCTTAGTACCAGGTGGGAGCAGGGACGAAGAGGGAGTATGTTCTAACCTGGCATGATGGTCTTCTTGCATTCATGGCACTTGGACGAGTACTCGTTGGAGTAGCATTCCGTACAGAGCAGCTGATCCTCCTTGGCAGCAAATGGCTTGTCCACCAGCGAATTCTTGCACTGGGAGCAGTGGAAACAGGTCTCATGCCAGTGCCGGTCCTTGTAAGACAGGTCCTGCAGAACCCAAACCACAAGAGTGAGGACTGTGTGTGGACGCCAGCGTTCAGTGCAGCATTATTCACAATAGCCCAAAGTGGAAACGGAAATGTGCATCACCACGTGAATGGAGAAACCAAATGTGCTACATACATACAGTGGAATACTACTCAGCCATAAATAGAAATGAAGTCCAGATGCATGCCACCATGTGGATAACCCTAGAAAACACGCTGAGTGAGCTAAGCCAATTAACAGAATTAACTCACATGAATTAACAGAAGAGCAAATGTATAAAAACCAAAGTTGATTAGTGGTTTCGAAACAGAAGAGGAAAAGGGTGAGTTTCTGCTTATGTTGTTAAGTGCTGTTCTCGAGGCATAGCAACCCTGTCTAGGGTTTCCAAGGAGCAGCTGATGAGCTTTAAACCACCAACCTTATGTTTCAAGCCAACTTTGTGGTCCAGGGATTATCCTGCAGCGCCACACCAGACTCCTTCTACTTATGGTAATGGGACATTTGGTAATGATTTCAGGTGTGGGTTACACAACATGATTAATGTAGTCTTTATCACTGAATAAACACAATAAAATACTGAAGTGGTAAATGTGTTGTATATATTTTTACAATAACAAAAAGGCTTAAACAACAACAACAAATGTAGTATTTATCAGCATTTGAGACTTTCAACTTCTCTATAATGAAGAGTAGAGCTTATGACACAAAACTGCAAGGCAAACAATGAAAACAAGGTGTATGAGGCTCGTGGTTAAGTGCTCGGTTGTTAACCGAAAGCCTGGCAGTTCGAAGATGTGGCAGTCTGCACAGTAAGAATTTACAGCCTTCGAAACACCATGGGTCAGTTCCTACCTTTGTCCTATAGGTTCCCGAAGAGTCGGAATCAACTCAACAGCCATGTTGGGTTATTTTGAAGCTTGTAGGTCAGGTGTTCCTGAATCATGATCCAACTACTGAATGAATACGGTTAAGTTGTTTTCTTTCGGCTGTATCTTAGAGTAGCAGGGGAAGCAGATGTGTGTGTGTGTGTGTGTGTGTGTGTGATGCTTTTAAGAGATATTAATTTCCCTTAGATACTGCCTACAGGAAAAGAGAAATCGAGAACATGGGAATAATTCAGTGCTTCTCATTCCACACACAAGAGAAAGATGGCAGGAATTTTGGGGCTGGTAAGGGAGCTAAGCAGCATTAACATGACAGCAGTTTGTATTCATTGGCATGACAAAGTGCCCAGGGTGTGAGGAAAATGCAGAGGAGGAGCTCTGAGAACAGGGATAATTCAATTTGGGGTGTGTGTGTGTGTGTGTGTGTGCAGGGGGTACTGGATGGAACAGGAAAGATGGCTCATTTTATTAGGTGAGTGTCAAAGAACAGTGGATGGGAGTGAGGCAGAAGGGGTAAAAACCTACCCACCACCATCGAGCCAATTCTGACCCTATAGGATAGAGTAGACTGTCCCATAAGGCTTCTAAGGGTGTAAGTTTCTTTAAGGACTGCCACCTCTGTCTTCTGCAGTGACTGCTGGGTTAGAATCGCTGATCTTTCAGCTAGTAGCAAAACACTTAACCTGCGAGACCACTGGGGTTCCTTGAAGAAGGGGTTATTATTGTTAAGTGCCACTGAGTCCGTTCTGACTCATAGCGACCCTGTATAGAGTTTCCAAGGAGCGGCTGGTGAGTTTGAACCACTGACCTTACAGTCCAGTGCTTTATCCCACAGTGCCACACCAGGACTACAGAAGAAGGGGCATTGCTATTGTTTTAAGTACCCTTGAGTCGGATCCGACTCACAGTGCAGTTTCGGAGGAGCAGCTGGTGGGTTTGAACAGTGCTGAGGTATTTTACCTGCTGCTTTAAGATACAGCCTAAAGTAAACAACTTAACTGTATTTATTCATTCAGTAGTTAGATCATGATTTAGTCCCGGTGTGGCGCTGTGGGTTAATGCATCAAAAAGTCATTTGAACTGCAAGGTCGGTGGTTCAAGCTCACTAGCTGCTCCTTAGAAATCCTATACAGGGTCGCTATGGGTCGGAATCAACTCGACGGCACTTAACAGTTTGAGCTTGTGGCTTGCAGTCCAGTACACCAGGAGTCTAAGGGCTAGGAGAGGGGATTTGGGGCAGCGAAAGTGCATGAGCAACAATAAAATGTGAGAAAGGGGGGCCGTGGAGGAGCCTGTGTCAGGCTGCGGGTGTAACAAATTGCCAGAGGAGATGGGTGAGTTTAAGGAGATGGGACCAGGAAGGGATTTTATGTCTGCACAGGGTTTGAAGGTGTCCTGGTGTGGCTGTGCAGAACAAGCACTCCACCATAAGTTCAGTTTGAACTGCAAAGTTGGCAGTTCAAACTCACCAGCTGCTCGTAGGAAACCTGATACAGCGTTGCTATGAATCAGGATCGACTTGACAGCATTTAACAACAACAAACAACAACGAGGTTTGAAACATACCTTGAACGCAGAAGAGTGAAATGAGTGTGTGAAAAGAATAAGGAAGTGAGAGTAGGGGAAGGCAAGAGCAGAGGTCTGGAGTGCACTAAGAAGGCTGCTACAGAGAAGGGCAAATGCAGACCCAAATGAAGTGGATCGGATTGGTGAGATCTGTAAATAGGGAACAGATGTAAGTGGTAGTTACAAAACAGAACACACACTTTTTTAGTGAAGGAGAGAAATCCACCCAGGACTGAAAACTGTCTCTCACTCTATGTTACTGTCATGAATTGAATTGTGTCCTCCAAAATATGTGTCAACTTGGCTACTCCATGATTCTCAATAGTGGGGAGTTGTCACACCTTGTCTTAAGTTACACCATTGCTTTATCTTACACTAGATAAAAGAGAATAGCAAGTAGAGAGAAGGGGCCACTGAAAAAGAGCCATGAATTAAAGTGTGTTGTTTGGACCGAGGGCTTCTGTGTTCAGAACCTTCTAGACCCAGAAGAAGATTGATGCCAAGCTACATAAAGAGCTTCAGATGGTGACAGGAGACAAGGACCATCCCCCAGAGCCAACAGAGAGGAAAGTCTTTCCCACAGAACCAACACCTTGAATTTGTACTTCTAGCCTCCTAATCTGTGAAAGAACACATTTGTCTGATAAAGCCATCTACTTGGGGTCTTTGATAGAGCAGCACTAGAGAGCTAAGACAGCTACTCTTGGTCTTATCTGAGGGGTAATGAGAATTTTTTGTATTTGCCTTTTTCAAATGGCTTTGGAAAGTGCTAATACACAACTGAAAAATAGCAACCAATTTATGTATCCAGTTTTATCTTTCAAAGGATATTTTTCTATTGCTCTTTTTTTTGAGTATTTCTGATTTTGACACAAAGCCATCATCCATTAATGAGGCAGGAATAGAATTTTAGGCCATCGCATGACCTCCTGGCCATTGTTCAGGTGTAAGTATCCTGAGCATTGTGTGATAGGGGTGTTCATGTAGACTGCCATCAGGAATAGCCTCAAGATATTGCTGTTACTGAAACCCAAGTAGAAGCTGTTATCCTAGGTACAGGAAATAAGAACAAATATCTTAGATGTGGTTTTTGTTGTTAAGGTGCCATTAAGTAGGTTCCGACTCATAGTGACCCTGTATAGGGTTTCAACCACCAATCTTGTGGTCAGTAGTCCAATGCATATCCTACAGTGCGACATCAGGACTCTTGGACATGACTAGAATGTACAAAAACTTGAACCAAAACTAGAACAAACAGTTCTCTTTCCTTGAAATACCCATGTGATCTTATTTTTCCAGAATCTTGAACCAAACCTAAGTCTTTTGATTTGGTAATCTTTTTTCAGATTTTGTTTTCATCCCAGGAATTTTTAAAAACCATAAATGTTGAAACATTTTGAAAAGTACTGAGTAACTGTGAGGCATAGTCACAGTTATAATTGAACTGTGAAATGAAGGCGTGGGTTTAGTGCTCGTCCCTCAAAGGCATTCTTGTTCAAAGCTCCCTTTAATATAAATGGATTGGTTCTCATATGGCTAATTCTTACCTGAATCCCAGGAGCCCTTGGGTCCACCAACCTAGACAAGATCAGATTACTGAAAGATAGTTTATCAAATGTTGGGTCTCTAGCCCTCATTGTGACCCCCAAACGCAAGGGTGTGTATACCGGATACAAGAGTAATTTGTCTCTGGCATTTCTACCTAAAAGCATTTTCAGAAATTTGAAAAAAGTCACCTTGAGCTTTATTGGTTTTTTGATAAATGTAATAAAGTATGTTCAACTGCTTTATTTTGGGTTAATGTCTATATATGCAGACTCATAAACTGCAAACCCTCAAATCTGCAAGTGTATGTCATTATTCAGGATTAGGTATGGCCTAGGCTCTTTCTATGCCAACATTCCATCTTCGTAAAGAAATCACTGGAAGTAGGAACACAAACAGAAACCTGTACACCCATGTTCAATGCTCATTTTGCCACAGGAGGCAAAATGTGAAACAACCTAAATGTCCATCAATAGATGACTGGGAACAACAAAACAGGGTACATACGCCTGCTGTGGCACTGGACTGCTAAATACAAGGTCGGTGGTTCAAACCCTATAATGCTATGAGTTGGAACCGGAGTTTTGGTGTCATGCTGTAGCACTGGACTGCTAATCACACGGTCAGGGTTTCAAACCCATCGGACAATCCTTGGAAACAAGGTCACTATGAGTCGGAACTGACACGACAGTACTTAGCAACACAAAGGAGCATGACTCCGCCATAATGAGAAATGAAGACCTGACACGTACCACAACGCAGATGAACTTGGCAAACGTTATGCTGAGAGAAATAATCACTCACAAAAGGGCAAATACTGTATGATCTGTCACTTACATGAAATAAGCAGATATATAGAAATCAAAGGGGGAGAATAGGAAATCAGGAGCTTTTGCTTAGGGGGCACTGAGTTTATGTTAATGATGGCGGAATAATTTGGAAATAGACATTGAGGATGGTTGTACAACTTGAAGAATATAATCAATGCCACTGTATTACACATGA